TAAAAAAATAAATAAATAAATAAATAAATAAATAAATAAATATATATATATATATATATATATATATATACATATTACTTGTATTAGGGTTTATATAATTATAATACATATACTCCTTGTGTGTAATATACAAATTAGAGTCTACAATAGAAAAATTAGGGTTTAGGGTTTAGGGTTTAGGGTTTAGGGTTTAGGGTACCCCCATCCGGCATCCTCAGGGCCCTAACGAGAAGAGTAATAGGGTTTTCGGGGGCCCCCCCAACACAGACGGAGTTGCTGCTGCGGTGCTGCTGCAGCCAAGCAGCAAACGAACCATCTGCTGCTGCTGCTGCTGCTGCTGCTGCTGGATCTGTTGCTGCTGCTGCTGTTGCTGCTGCTGCTGCTGCAGCAGCACATGGTGCTGCTGCCGAATCCCCACCACCAGAGACAGCCCCCCCCGCACCTCCTGCTGCTGCTGCTGCTGCAGCAGCAGCAGCAGCAGCAGGAGACATCAAGCTGCTGCTGCTGCTGCTGCTGCTGCTGCTGTCTGCTCTGCTGTATGCAGCCCAAGGGGGAAAGGGTACTTGTCTCGCTGCAGCAGCAGCAGCAGCAGGGGGGCCCCCCGGGGGGCCCCCCCGGGGCCCCTCTACCTCTTCAGGGAAGGCGAGGGTTTCTCTTATAGCCATCATTGGCGGAGACACTGCACGATGCACAAACCCTAAACCCTAAACCCTCATAAACCCTAAACCCTAAACCCTCGTAAACCCTAATAAACCCTAGTAAAAGCTATACCCTAATAAACCCTAATAAACCCTAATAAACCCTAATAAACCCTAATAAACCCTCACAACCCCCCACAACCCTCCCCAAACCCTCATAACCCTAAACCCTAAACCCTAAACCCTAAACCCTACCTCTGATGGGTATTTGTGCATAGAGGGTTTCTAGGTCCTTTAAGGATGTCTCCATGTGAACGTCGCCGCAAAACCCCAGCAACAATTCTCCGCTCTTCAGCACGGATACCTGCACATACACCCCAATATATATATATATATATATATATATATATATATATATATATATATATATAT